AGATTATATGTAAAATGTACTATTTCAAAATATTTAAAGAGGAACAGAAAAATAATTAAACACAATTTTTAATTAGTATTGTTATTTATTTTTATCAATATTATAAATTTTTATATTTTTACAACCATTATATGTGTATAAGGTTAGACTTTCTTAGTAACTATTTACTTTCGTTTGAGTTAATTTCTGTGTAAAACAAATATATAATAATAAAATAGTGATTAATATTTACAGAAACTATAGACAGTAGAGTTTATGTAATAAAATCAAAGTCAATCATGTAATTACAATCGTATTCCTACAATGAGGATACAATATTAGAAGTTCTTTTACATTTTACTGCTAAAATAGTAATATACTTCTCAGAAAATTCGTTGTTTCTGAACAGTTTCTAACTATTGAGGAACGCTTGAGGACATAGCCGTCCCAAAGGGAGGGGCGAATGGGGCAAGTGCCCTTGAGCGTACAAAATATTATGAATTTAAGTGATGAAATAAAAATTAATGATAATAAGAAAAACTACGTTTTTTTATTTCAGATAGGTAAGCATTAATTTTTCTTTTATACTGGAATATCAGAGTAACTATAAAATTGTATAACATATATCATAAAATGTAAATAATATAAATAATGTGTTGCATGACTACATAAATATTACCATAGGATAGAATATTATTAATAATTTAATAATGATAATTGATGATCTCAATTTATGACTTTTTATGTATTGTATGGGTAGTAGATACCAAGTAAAATAGTACATTAACTTGACTTTATATTATAACGAATATTATCTGTAAATCATAAATACTAGGATTCAGATTTAAAATCATTGAAAAGTACTGAAATACGCACTATAATATGATCAAAAATAATTTAAGAGTATAACCTATTGCCCTAAAAAGAAAAAGAAAATAAATGTGAATCAACATTTAATTTAATTTATTATATTTTACCACAGCTTATTTTATTTTTTGAATTATTATTTATAAACTTAATGAATCTAATCTACATGATTACTAATTTTATGAATTAATACATTCATAAAAAAAAAAAAACTAAAATTACCATCTGTTAATAATTTTAAAAATTGTGACAAAAAACAAAAATGTGGGAATTTTTCTTATTATACATAAATGAATTAATACTATTTCTCAGTCAATATAAATAATATTTATGGTATTATATTATTTTGAGTATTAACCAATAATAACACCAAAACTTCGAAAATTATAATAAAATTCTAAAATACTTTAAATTTGCAAAAAATATCAAAATAATATTTCATTTTTGGAGTTCCTGGTGTACAAAATAAATGTATATCTCACTTTACTATTTTTATTTGTATTTTATAACAATTAGCAAACGCTATAAAATCAGAATCATTTATAATATTCATTATTCATGAATATTATTACAATATTACCCAAATATATAATAAATATGTGTATACTAGATTATAATCAATTCATTATCAATTTTACGCGATAATAAAATCAAGTTTGAGTGAATTCAGATAATTCAGTAAACAAACCTTACTCATCACGAAAATTTTATTCCTACATACAATACCAACTCAATAACGCAAAACGTAATTTGGTTGAAAATTTTGCAAAACTTAAAGCAAGAAAAAATTCCTTGGTTTAATCTAAGAAAGTTTTATGTTATAAATAATGTTCAAATATTAGAATATTATGTCTGTGTTACAAAATATTATTATTTATTATTATTATTTTGTCTTATGAATATAAAAGGTGATTGTAATATTTACCTTGAACCCTTATGTTTATATATTATGTATAACTCATAATTCTATGTAAATTATGAATACATACATTTTTATAATATTTATTTATAGTTTTGTGAAAAAAAAGTAATTTTTCTATAATTAAGCCAAGATAATGAAATGTTAATTTTAAAATATTATAAAAAAATAAATAAATATAACTTCAATAATGATAATAATATAAAATAATGAATAATTAAGTACCTTAATTATTAATTATTAAACATATTTAAAGAATGAGGTAAATTATATGCTAAGAATGTGAAATCAATTTTACAACAAAAAGATTGGTGAATAGAGGGGACGTCAAATGCTGTTGCACTAAGACGTAATTGGTAGCTAGGAGGGCATTGCTTGGGTATACATGTAATTATTATAATGCCTTTGTTATTATATAGTTATTTCAATAGTAAAATATATTATAATTTGATCATCGAATATATGAACATAATACATATTGATATCATGACAATAATGATCACTATATAATAAATCGTAGTCAAACGATTCATAAAATTAAAATTAAATTAAATAATATTTTATGACTAAAAAAACTAATATAATCTGGGTACCTAAAGGGTTAGAGTGTAAACGCAATCTCACTCTCTGATTTTTCATAACTACATCACTAATTAATAGACATATGTATTTCAACAAATTGAGAAGTTAATAATTAATGCTACTGAAAACTGAATATAGTTTTCAAATATTTAAAGTACAGCTTTATTATCAAATATTAAAAATCCGTTTCAAACCGATATATTATGAGAAAAAAAAACTTTTATGTATGATAATATTACAAATACATAGTCAGTTAGAGGTTTGAAATTTAAAATATATTCTATATCTATATATCAATCGAACCTTGATAAGAAGGGGGTAATTTCAACTACTTTTAGCGTATTTTCTATTATTATCATTTTTCAAATGGTTTTACAAAATTATATATATTTGTAATTTGTATAGATTTAAAAATATTTTTTATGTCTAATTTTATGATTTAATAGCTGTTTAGCCGTTATTTAAAATCAATAAATAAAATGTATCAGAAAATAGTTTTACTAATGCTGTTCTACTAAAATTATTTTTAATTTCTAAAAATTATACTACTTTCGAATCATCTTTCACAAAATATTTGAGTTAAAATTATGACACTGCCGTTACTCGGTACCGTTACCATGTATGATCAATGATGTAATTACGTGTCGAAATGAATATAAACCTTTCGTGTTGATTTTGGCCAACGTACGCTCTGTAAAATCATATTGTGTGTGCATATACTAAACTATATAAGTATAAAAAAAAATTGCAAGTTAAGTAATAATAGTTACACTTAAAATCCAGAGAAATAACTGAAGGATTAATAGTATGTGCGCGACGTGTGAAATAATACATTTTTTTAGTTAACGACATCCACTTAATTTTATTTCTGCCATCTGTGCAAGGTGTATAACCCATACACATTATTATACATGCATTGATCATGACCCCCTAAACTCATTGACTAAACTATTTTACGATATTAAATGATAATTTTCTATAGTTGTAAGCGTCAGGGAATTAAGATGGTCCAACGTTAGTCGCATTATTATTTGTAATCACTCATTGTTAAAATATACATATATTTATTTAGTGTGCCTAATAAATTCAAACTTAGTATTATGTATTTATTTAGTACTGTATTTATGTATATTTAAGATTCATTACAGTTTTCGTTTTTCGTTTTTATCAATAATACGTTTGATTAACTGTAATCAATAAATTTAGGGTATATATTTATATTCATACTATATTAATTGATACGATTTTTATAATAATAATTAGTTTTTTTTTTTAGTAAACATCAAATCATTTATTGTATTATAGAACTATAACATAATACGATTTAATGTTTTGTTCGCAAATAATTAATGTAGAGTAGACACTAAGCTTTCAAAAATGAAGACGTTAAGTAAAAACCTATCAACTCGACCATTTTGATAAAAGAAATCAACTAAAACGATGGAAAATTTAATGAGAATAAGAAGAAAATGCATCCAGTTGATAAAAAATATTTTAATCGTTATAATCCAGTTATAATAACAATATTTTTTTTTTTACTAATTGGCTAATTTTAATTACTTACTTCTAAATTTCTAATACATAAATGACCTGACCAAGATTAAATTATATGCTCGACCTTGTTCTTCTTTTCCACTTTTATTTTATTTTTTTTTTTTTTTTTATCATGCAATAATCATCTTGGACGAGTATTGGGCCACTAAATAAGGTCTTTTACTAAGTATTTTACTAAATACTGTGAAATTAATATAATGTAAATATACAGAATCATTTTTATTTCCTGAAAAAACATTGTGTAACGTAAAAAAAGTATTTTCATCATTTAAAAACATCATCTATTTTGAAAACTAAAATAAATGAATGATACGTATACGAGTATAATATTGTATTCTAAGAAACGAATTCATTCATTGGATAATCTATAATATAATACTTTTGTAATTATTAATTTTTTTTATATTGCATTATAATATTAAAATACTATATAAGTAGGTCACTCTTATTTGTTATAATAATAGGTATTAATACTTTATTTTGATATTTTGATTAAATATCTAACAGTTAAAAAGTAAAGCAACGAAAACTACTGAACCTTAACATACCTTTTATAATAGAACAAACAAATATTAAATACAACAAAAAAAAAAAAAAAAAAAAAAAAACAATAAAGTATTTAAATTTTTGTGTAACTAATTATAAATTGTAGTGATTTTTTTTATAAACTTTTACCATGTTGGTTCTTGTTTATAAAAATTTGAACTAAAAAAAATGTACATATTATTTATATCGATCATATATCATAAACAATTATCTTAAAAAAATATTTGTTTCTTAAAATTAAACAAATTATTTTTCTTAGCATAATCATTTGATTATATATACGAAGTTAATATATCTTTTACATACTATTTAAAAATTGCACTGTTGCCCGGCACAGCACGTTTAAACTTTCCAAAAATTGTTGCGTAAGAAAACAAAAAAAAAAAAAATCTAATTCAAAATTAATGGGTAATCAATTGATGATTAAGTATGTTTAACTAAAACTAGAAATAACACTATAATAGTGTTATATTTTAAAAAAATCCAAAAAAAATATGTGTATATATATAAATGTATAAATACACATATAAAAATATCAGGAATCTACACAATATAAAGTCTATATTAATAATTGTTTTAATAATGCAACAACTTAAATAAATAAATGTACATTTGAGAATGATATTATGCGAAAATGTGGCTTAAAAATTAAAATACTCACTAATATTGGATAGGTGAAGGAATTTAAACAAATAATGTACCTCGATGTATGGTAAATATAAAGTTGTTCGTAATTATTTTAGTCTGAATCTTTCAGCCAAACTTTAAGTGGGATTTGTAAGAACGCATTGTTCAAGAAATTTTTGAAATGCTTGCCAATTGCTTGCGATGCTGCGGGTTTCATTTCTTCGATAATCTCAGCAGCATTCTCGTTTAGAAATACGTTCATTGCTTCGCCTAAATTTAAAGCGAAAACACAATTTTGAAATCAAATTATTACAACAATTTTACTATTTATTTTAACCTATGACGTTTTGCATATTGATGGAGTCTTTGATTTTAAAATCTGATTTCTCCAACTTGAAACCAATGCCCAATCTTTCCGTTTTCATATACTTAACTCCTTCTTTTTTCACCTCAATACCGTATAATTTTGCTAGGGCCGTTACGTTTTCTATAAAATAAATATGTGTATATATTAGAATATACGAATATAATTTTATTTTGTTCATCGCCATGAAAAAAATTACAACATAATACATAAAATATTATAACATTTATACATAACATAAATTAAAAATAATTTTAATTGTAAAATTTAATATAATGTAATGTAATCTGACCGAAGGACGCCCAAAACTCTCCTCTGCTCCTCACTGGCAATAACAACACGTTACCATTGACATCGTAATTTCCAGTAGCTTCAATATGTGGTATGAAAAGTCCCAAGTCTATGCGATACTTGTTCATATCGCTCCTACGAAAAATAATTGAATATCTCAAACAATTATATAAATAAATAATTTTTTAAAATATTTTACACATTAAATGAAACCAATATAGATAAACCGTGTTAATGACCTTGTACATAAATTTTATATTTATAGATAATATTTTATCTCATTTCAATTGAGTGAAATAGTTATGCATTAAGGTTCGAGATTATAATTAAAGAACAAATTATAAACAGGTGGTTTATTCAGAAAAATATTTTTATCGTTTGCATTATTGTTTAGTATGAATAAAAAATAATCATCATACGTGTCAAACACGTCAATCAGAATTTCGCATCTAGAGTATAATTATCTATAATAATAACCTTAGCATACTTATTTAGATTACTAGCAAAATTCTGAAAAATCTCATCGTAAAGTTTGTATAATTTCATCTAATGTAACAGGCAAAACAATGTTATAGTAATTTACTAAATGCAAGTGTCGAATAAACACTTTTCAAAATTACCATTTACAATTTTTAACACAATTGTATTTTTTATAATTAAAACAAACTATACTACTAAATCAGTTATACTAATAACTGAACAAGGATCTTACTGTTGAATTACTACTATAATTGTTTACAAATTTCGTTCGATGTGGGTATATTGATGAATATATTTTAGGTATTTAACAAATGTTTAATATTCATGAGTGAATAATTCAAAATTAATCGAATCTCGCGATTAATAATATTACAAATTTAATTAAAAAGTAACAAATAATGCATTATGGATATCTTTTATAGTCTCATAGGATGAAAATCCATCGTTCATTAGAAAATCGCGTTTTAAATAAAGAACAGACAAAAGACTAATTTAAATTTTAAACAGCTTACACATCATTAAATCCTTCCTAGACGCTCATGCTCATTGAATTAATTAATTATCGAACCATTACATTTATTAGTGGTACATATAGGTAAGGTTCAATTAGAATTTATCGTATTGGTAAATATGACAACTAAACAATCGAAATTGGGAGTAAACGACGGAAAAGAATTAGCTCAAGATAGAGATAGATGGAGGCAGTTGGTTGTTGCGACAATGGACCTAAATGGCCCGTAAAATCCAAAAGAAGAAGAAGAAGAATGACAACTAAACAAAGTTTCTACCTGACGTTTAGAACCGTATAATTGCTCGCGCCGTGTATAGTCATATTACTCAGTATGGCCCTCACCCTGACCGCTCCGTGGCCGTTTTCCATTTGCATTTTCGGTATAATTAACGGTTCAATTGGTGGTACGGTCAGTTCGTCAATACCTAAAGACCAAATGTTTTATTAGTTTACATATTATGTAGTTTGGCATAATAGATACACAGTGAAAAGTCCATTATTAAGTGAGATGGATGTAAGAATGGAATAAGAAACGAGAAATTCACGTAAAGATTTCACTGTAATGATAGTTTAATCAATTATCGACTGTAGTAGAGAAAAATACATAATCAATATTAAATTAACCGTTTATGAGATAGGGTCGAAGATGATTGAATGTTTCTTTTATGCAATTATTGAACTGTGCGTCCGCCTTCCGGCATGGGTGAATGTATTCAGCTGAAACAAATATGAAAAATCGATTATAATCATTTATTTTCTTTAAAGTTTTATACAAATCAAACAATATTTTATGTAACATGTTATTATCATTCCGTAATAATACATAAAAAAATTGATGTTTCCAAATGAAACTGTCACAATGACACTATAATATTTACATACATCGGTATGTACTTCGTTCCACAAGGCTCTATTTTTTATCATCCAAAATATAATATTAGAAATATTAAATTAATAATCAAATAATTTTGTTTTTTGTTTTTTGAATAATTTATAAGGAGATGAAATATAATCAAGAATACATGTCTATGGAGTTACACCATACATGTATCAATGGGCATAATATAATATTTAATAGGTAAATTGAATGTGAACTTGAAACCGAATTCGAATAATTATTACAATAATTGCTTAGTTTTTTATTACCTTACAATTATAATTAAAATGTACCTACAATAATATCATGGATTTTAATTTCACTAACTAATTATAATAGTCTAAAATGATATGGACATCTATCATGCTATGAGCATGAAATATTTATTATTTCCACTCATACAACGTAACTTATCTAGAATATTACAAATCAATTGATAAGTATCATTTCGCCTTATCGTTAAATGATTGCTAACCTATTTTAATTGATATTTTACATGCGATCCTAATGATTGCCGATGGTAACTATGTCTTCAAAAATACATTCAGACTACACTAATTAATAAATTCATCTCATTGCCTTATCAAATAACGTAAACCACCATGCTTGTTAACAATACCATTTATTTAACACTACACAATATAATTAATATAATTTTATAGAATCTATATAACAAAGAAATAACAGCTTAGCTCGAATAACGAGAATCTAGAATGACATTATTATGTTTATATGATATTTGAATGAAAACTTGGTATAAACTTCATTCGTGTTATCGTGATTGAAGAACCATGTAGATATTAAGTTTTTAATTTGTTTTATACTGTTATAAAATTTCTTAAAAATGATTTAGAGTATTAGAATATACGATATTTATGATTGTTTACTCACATGAAAAAAATTAATTATGTAAATATATCATGATTCTAACTGTATAGTCATAAAACTTGAGAATACATTATAATATAAAATATCTACTGTGAAAAAAAAAGGTTGTTAAATAAGCAAATAATTATTAAAAAAAATATTTTTAAATGGATTTAATAATGGAAAAACCATAATATAATATTTTTAGTATGTTATAGTAAATGTGATCAATGATTTCACAATAAATACAGTATCATAATGTAAAAAAATTAATAATAACTGAAGTATAAATATTATATTATATATATTAAGCAGTAAATATGAAAAAATAACCATGAAACCTATGGAAATATTTGGTTGTTTTTTGTTTACCGTTGAATAACAACACTTATAGTGAAACATCTTTGTGATTGTTACAAAAACTTTTTGTTATCTTAAGTGAATATAATCCCATATTATAATTTAACTACTTTTGCGTCAATGTATGATAAATTAAGATTATGAAATCAAAACACAACGCAAAAACCAACAAATGAAACTAAAATTTGAAAGAAAGAAAAAAATCCAATGTTGAACGCTAACTAATTTACAGATTTAAATAGAAATAAAATTTAAAACTTTTCAACTCGACTAATTAGATTTTTTATTATAGAACTTCTAACTAATTAGTTACTTTTATAATTAAATTAAAGTAACTTTACTGGCTTAAATTGACATCGTCTTATCCTTAACTTATTCTTGATCCTTTAGTTTATATTATTTAGTTAGGTAGATTACAAATTTATAATTAAAATTGTTTTCTGTGCATGTGACAGGATTTGACTAACTATATGTATCTGTTTCCATATATATATGACCATTGGACAACAACGATAACATTTCAAAGACGATTGGTAAATAATATTTGTTTTAGATAAATAAAAGTATCACAATTCATAAATACTAATTGATTAAATATGATAACTATAAATGTTGGTGACTCGAATGAAAATCATTATTAAAAAAAAATTAACTGCATTTTCACTTTTAACTGGGCGTTATTCTTTTGATAATTTCACTCAACTATCTTGCGTCAATTTTTACTTTTTCCCCTTTGGTAAGCTTTTATATAGTTGACCATTTTTTAGAATATGATGTAACAATCGTGATTTTACAATCATGTTTTCATTATGCACCAATTTTAATCTATATGATGACGTATTCTGTTAATCTAAAATTGCAGTCTATTGTATAAAATTTTAGTAAATATAAAATTTCCACGTTTTGCTCAACAAACCAGCAAATAGAGTCAGACAAGTACAAAAATTAAATTTTAAAAATATGGCTTTATTGCTTTATTGTAAATGACTTTAGACTCTCAATAAGTTTGTCATATTATGTTATAATAAACATATTGTTTTAAAATTTAAAAACCAGTTATATCCAATGCTTATATTTTGAATTTTTATCAGATTTTCATATTACTATTACATTCGATATTAATAAAACAAAAATTTAATAATATTTTATATTGGTTTTTACATAAAAATCATTTAAATATCTTATATCTGTTATTTTACATACACTAGGTATTTCATATTTATAGAAATTAGTGAAAAAAATAAGTGTAAATAAGTTATAAAAGATGTCTACAAATATTCAATAAAAAATTGTGAAAATAATATATATTATGTCGGAATAAAATAAAAATAATTATCATGTATGTCGTGTACTATCAACAAAAATTAAATAAAAAGTTAAAAGACAATAAAATATACTCATTACTCATATTATACGCTCAATTATTGAACAGCATAAAATATTTTTTTGTAATAATTATAAACTATTGTATTGCATCTATAACGGGACACTGATTTTATCACAAAAAATTCCGAATGAACAACCATTACAAACCCCAATGCATGGAGGGACAAAAGCAAACATACAAATATTCAATACATTTGCATAATAAAAATATTTAATATTCGTCAAAGTCCAATTAACCAACTTGATTAAATAGACTTTGTATATACTTCAAATAATAATTATATTAATAATTAATTATTTTAGACAAATAGAGAAAATTGCTTTTGAAATTGCGTGGATAAAGGTGATGAGGAGTGTATTAAAGTGAGCTTTAATATAGTACACGGGTCAAGCTTATTTATTATTAGACTGTAGCAGATAAGTTTAAAAATGCCGAATATCTCAGTGTACCATGTATAACTAGGTGGTATAGAACTATTTATAGTCAATTTTTGTTTAGTTGGATTGATTTTGAATTAATAAATGCGTAGTAACGACGGAACTCGTTCAGGTATATTATGGAAACTCACGAAAAATGACGTCAAATTTATGAGCTCCAAAATTCACTCTGGAAGTTACAGACTACAGGTTTTACATATTTTAATCAAGTGATGATAATATCTTACTCCTAATAATTTCCAATTTAATAAAATTAAGATTTTGAAATGAGGAAATGAGGATTTAAGTTGAGGATTAATATATGAATACATAACAAATTGCGGTATATCCGTAATTTTAGGGAAGGAGCACATATACATTTTAAAAAAGAAAAATTAAAAAGAAAAATAACAGCCGTTGTGACTTCACCCGTATTTTTATAGTTAGAGTTAGTTTAGAGTTCAATTATTTTCTATAATAATTAAGTCTTATATTATTTAACAATTATGAACATTAAGTGGTATAAAAACTTGAAATCTTAACGATCTCTCGAGGATTTTTTTTTTTTTTTACTTATTTTGAGTTTTTTCAGGTTTAGTACAATCTCTTAGCTCGTGAATAATAATACACCCATGTTTATAGCAGACGTTCCTGGCGACGTGATAATCGTGTTTTTTTTCTTAATCAGAATAATGGAGTATGCATTTAACTGTACACATATTTCATGCATAGCACTAATTTTTAAGTAAAATCTTCCTAACCATTATGTACAGCAAATATATATTTAAACCTGATATACATTCACGTATAATATATGTACGGTACACGGATGACTTGAACCAGCAATACGATAGGATCGGACCCATGCAAGTGTATGTTAATTATATACTACAAGTGCAGTGGTAACCACTAACCTTAACTTTGGGAGCCGCAAATTTACAAAGCTAATTCGAGGCAAGCCACATTGTAAAGCGATGTTTATAAAATTAAGACATATTTTTGGTTACACATATTAAAAGCGACGTTTCCGTGCCAATCTAAACCTAATAACGACTGTAATGATAACGAAACCGACGGCAGTAAAAACACTATCTAATGTTACAAACGATTCTAAAAACATTTTATTAATTTTAGACTAAATTTGGTTCAAGAGCCGCACACGAGCCCCCATGTACTAGTATATCTCCCGCCTATCGTTTAACGTCTGGTCCATGTCACCAGCTCCGATCCACCTCCAAAGATGTTCTGGATTTTTTTTTTTTTTTTTTCAAACATTTAGCGTACAATTTGTACGAATTCGTTTGACAGGTTTCAGAATTTATTCGACATCGTTATGAGAAGAATGAGATGTATGACGTCCCTCCTAGCTCATAACCTTGACAAATCGAGCATATCTTTTATGGAAAACTATATGGGTTAGTCGATTATTAAAAAGAAAATAAACGTTATTGAACAATTGTCGTGGGTACTAATTATTTTCGTATGATTAAACCGTCGTTTTCTCGTCGTTCGCGTTTTACCGGTGCGCTTGTCCGCGGCGTACCGTTGTAAAATTGTAAAACATTTTGTAATAAATTTTGTAAAACGTTCGCGGTCTCGCACGTCGCCCGTACGTCCTCCGATGACGATTCGCATACGATCGGTTTCTTTTCCACGCGCGCGCGCGCGCACACTCGACCAGGTATTGAGTAACGATCGCGTGGCGCGACCGCTTTCACTTTTCAAATACCTGGTCCGCGCTCCCGTCGTTTCCGGTACTTTTCCTGTCCGTGGACACGGCCGGTGCACGGAGTTCTTTTTTCGGTTGGACGATACGTTTTTATTTTATTTTTTTTTTTTTTTACGTAGAAAAACGCGCACGGTCACAGCAAACAGGTCTTGCACGCGAGTAGAGTTGCACACGTGCATGTAATAACAATGTTGTTACACGGCTGCACTTGGTCTCGCGGTTCCGGCCGCACGGCCGAGCGTATCTCGTAATAATACTGTTACACCGGAGACGCGGGGATATCCAGGACGTCATCCGTTCTCGGAATGAAAAAAAAAAACCGTCCGCGTTCGGGACGTTACCGGCAACGGTTTTAAGGATTTATGACCAACAAAAAACATTTACTATATGATCGGGCACTTCGAACCGGGTGAACTTTTCATTAGAATTCGTACCCTTCGAAACGTTGAAAAAATCGTTCCGTCCGTTATCTGGCCCCGCGTAATACACGTGTTGTGCGCACGTAACGAGGTCCAGTTGCCACCGCATGCTCGCAAGGATATCGCGTTTTGCAGTGTACGTTGAGTGCACGGGGTAAGATCGAATATTTGCCAGTACATTCGCAAGAGCGCCCTTGACCCCGTTCGGTCGATCATTGTATTGCACACAAACGCACTACTACTCATTGTGTGTGCGCGCACGATGAACGCGCCACACACACACACACGCACGTAAAAACATATTCGTGTACACGAGCATAATGTGTATTATGCGCCGGTCGTATAATAATAAATATAATATGTGTGCCAATGTATAATACGACTGCGCAGCCGTGGTGATTGGCAATCGTGTTATTGTTGTTATTACGAGTGCCGTTATTATTATCGTGTGGGCACATATTGGCGCGACCTGAAGTCCGCGGAAACGGCTGTACGGGAGGGACACGACGGGTTTGGCAATATCGCGGGTCGAATATGAGCGCTATCAGAACGGTATTTTTTCAATCTCCGTATCCGCCGGAGAACGGTCCCGGATCGGGTGGGCTTCAGCTGCTGAGAACCGGCCGAAGACGCGCGACTGCAGAAAGTCTAACGCGGCGAAGTGACCGGATTGCGTAACAGTCGTCCGAGTGCGAAAAAAAAATTAAGCAACTCGCGTTATTGTCGCCCGCAGTTGGATAATCACTCGCGTGCGTACAATAATATTATGTACGGCGGGTAAGTACGCTCTTCGGTGCGCGTCACGTGCACATTACAAATATTATGTATTCATTAATTTTTTTTTTTTTTTTCTGTCGTACGGATTTTTTCCTTTTCCCGTCCCCGCCGTCCGTCACCCGTTCTAATGCAATGCGCGCGCCGTAGTTCACCTACGCGATTCATGCTCCACCGATTCCGATAAAAGCTATGCGGTGCTCGTACACGTTTAGACGACGCAAGGACCTAATATTCAATTTTCGCGTGTTGATGTTTCGAAATAATGTCGTTCGTATGTGGTTTTTTTGTGTACTATTAAACGAACTCTTGTCTCCAGAACGAGCTCGCTTTCGGAGACGATTCTTCTTCTTTCATTTATGTATATTTTCATATTACATAAGTATACGTTGTACGGTACACTTATTGCGTTTATCGAGAACGGATTTTAAGTTATTATTATTATTATTATTTATTATAAAAGTATTCGAAAATTCGAATTTTCCGTCTACTTAAGACAGTATTATTTCGATCCCCGCAATACCGAAGCAATTTCAAATGGTAGAAAAATCACTGAAAAACAACTGAACTAAAATTAAAATAAATATATAATATAATTGTCACTCTAATGGAAATACTGTATTGCTTAGCGATCAATCCCGATCGTTTGATTACATTACATTTAATGTAGACGACAGCGCGTTCGATTACAATGTTATATACCACATAAAAACCAAAACGTAATTATTATTATATATTATTATATCTACGTTTTACAGTTATTGAACTACGATTTTACATGCACACATAAAAGTTGTTGGTCTTGGATTTTCTATATAAGTCAACAATAGTTTATTGATATGGTTTTTCGTGTCATAGAGAAAAAAATGTGAACACTATATTACAGACAATATAATATGATTTTAGGGACTGATCACGAATATTCGTGTTTTTATTCATCCAATTAATCCCTCGTCCAAAACAACTAAACATAATGAAACTTTAACTCGTATTCAACGGAAATGACACTACGTAGATTGACCATTGCTAAAACCGTCAGGAACGGCAGAATACCATTAAATACAGTGCACATAACGTATATTCGTTTAAATCTATGTTGCACCTCAAGCAAGTAGATATAAATACGATTTTTGGACATCAATTGCGTAGACCAATTTAACATGACCGTGGTTTCCCGATGGTTGTGAATCGACTTCGACTTTACATAGTCTCTTTATTTTTCCCGTGCGAAACAGTATTCGGTACCCTGATAATCTTCGAATGAAATCGGGGCCATAGAATATAGAAGGAAGTGAATATTTAAAACGTTTCGATTATACATAGATCGTCTATCATCGTTCAAGGTAAGCTCAACTCGAAGAAAATAACACAACCGACGGTTGCTCCGTAACAGGACTGTTATTATAATATAATATGAAAGTAAAAACACGTAATTTTGTTCGTCATTAAATAAACAAATCATTTCACGGAACAGCCGTTTTACATAATATATGCTTAACGAAGAATATATGTGTGCGCGCGCGCGTGTGTGTGTGTGTGTGTGTGTGTGTGTGTGTGTGTGAGTGTGTGCGCGCGCGCGCGCAGAAGAAAAATAATACATAATTACATTACGTAGGCATAAAGGGAATAATAATAACGTAGGTGCATTATTATAAGGGATGTACGGTCACTACTCACTTATCTAAAAAACTTTAAGCGCATGTTACATGCTTACACGATACTCGCACAAAAAACGGATATACATAATATGTAGGTATATTTACGGTGCAACGCGATCGAGGACGACGTAACGCAGTAGGTACGTATAATGTCGAACGAGAAAACTCGTCCAAACCCAACAATAGATTGCGGGTATACTTTCTACGGCAAGTTTACTAGTACAACCATGTATAGATAATCCAATATGTATAAAATGTGTTACGTGGTATAATGCTTGACACGCACATATTACAGGCATGCGTTCAAATACGTACAAGGTGTTGAAAAATCCTGAAAGCCGTTAGAATCGGAAGCGTACGAGAGCCGTTTCAAAACTTTTTCAACACCCTGTATAAAAATCTAGTGATATTCACGAAATCTATTGGTGTTCGAAACACCGATGATTATATTATTCGTTTCGGAATACCTACATACATTATATTAATGAACAATTTAAGGCGTACAGTGGATAAATACGTTAAAACAATATTATCGGTCGTCGTTGCGGTAAATTTTTGGTACTCACGTGTAGCGTTCACGGAAAGAACGGCTTCGGCGGGCCGAGAGATGGTGGCGATGGCCGCCAGCAACAGGGACGCCCGAAGTGTCAGCGACACCGGACGATCGTCTACGTCAGCGGTGCAACGTCGCGTCACCATCCTAAATCCACTTGATTCGACACGTGCGTGACGGCGAACAGTCGAATTAATGCAACACGTGTGTGTTGTTATATGTTTATAGGATCGATTTAAACAAATACGTAGAAGCGAAAACGTATTATGATCAAAGTACGAGTTCGTGCGGTTCCCCAGGGGTGGCAAACGGAGAAAAAATTATCGTTCACGTCTACGCGGCTGTCTAAACGAATCGTCGCGCGCACAATAGAATTGATGTCGGTCGATTCATGGTGAACGGACGAAAGCGAAAAAAAAATTTAAAAAAAAGAAGAAAAGTACAATGATCGATTGCTGTTCGAAAACCGCCAAACGATCTTCGGTGGCGTAGTGATCGTAACTTTTAAACTTTAATTGTTTTCTTTTCTAGCCGTTTGTGCCGCGCGCGCGCAAGGTTCGAAAACGCGTCTCGAGATGGTCACGTTGGCGGTGATTAAATACTCGACGCTCGGTGTGATGTTGTATTATGTTGTACAGCGGACGATCATCATGATGGCGTGTGTTACAGAGAGACGATATGGCCAACGAATGCGATGCGTTCTTCGACGATAGTGAAAGTATAATATCGCGGGGGCTCGACTAACGCGTCCCGTCCGAATGTTTTCTCAGCGCGCACGCACGCGTAGGTATACGCAATACGTGTTTCTCTCTCTCTCTCTCTCTCTCTCTCTAGGACGCCCCTCTGTCTATTGCACTATTCTCTGCCTGTGCAGCACGCAGTCCGCCCTGGTCTGTCTCTCTCCGTCTCGCATACAACACGACCATAGACCGTATAACCACTACCACAAAACAGTGCAAGCGTATGTATGTATTGTGTATTACGTACCCCCGCACCGGTGGTCACAGGCCGTTTTATAGTCGGTTACGTAATAGTTATATTTAAAACACGTAAATGTACGATATACACCTGTACGGGAGTTCCGCGGCCACGCGATGTTCTTCCGCCACCTCGGTACATAATACATACAAAATATGCACCACGTCACAATAATAATAATAATAATAATAAATAACTTCAATTGCGGTGGCGAGTCGAACCGTTCTTATGTCATATTTATTTGACCGGTCGTCGTCGACTCCCGTGGCTACTCCGTTATATACATTATATACATGTGTGTGAGTTCATATGTATGCGTCCGGACGTATAACATGGATACAGTGAGAGTTACGTCACTTTCGCTCGTCCAGTTACCGACTTTGTGTGTTATAAATATTAATTATGTACATGATAAATCTAAAGGTTTAAAATACAACGTTATTATGAATTACGGAAAGGTACACGAACATTGAACGTCGGATGTGTGGGTCGTCACCCTTTGATACACGCTGGACACTATGATAATACGGTGCTGACGATGGTTTTATTGGAGAACGCAATATATCACTTATATTTGATTTTACCCTATTAGTTTGTGATTGAACTAAATAATCCACCACCAGAGAAGTTAACTAGTTGGGAGGAGGGGAGGGAGAAAATAAAAGTATTTAACACTCGCCTATGGAGAAAAATTGATCGCTACACTCGAATAATATAAGAGCATTGATTTATACTTATTGTTACGTTTGAAAATAGACCATCGAGTATTGATCAACTGCCTCTACCCATGTACCAAATTAAGGGAGCATTTCCCCACCCCCCTGCTCCTCTAGATTTGCAACTCAGCCCACTTCTCAGTACAAATAATCAGTAATAACAGTCATTTACAAGCATTTTAGAATTTGAATTGTAGTATTCTATCTTCTAAATAATAACTTATTATAAATCGAATATTTATTTGTGAATCATTATTATTTTTTTTTTTTTTTTTTAATAGTAGTAAATTTAAAATAAAAATAAATAATGATTATTAGTAAAATATATAAACACATACTTGTATGTAGATAATTAGTGTTGGTAAACAAATAATATTATGATTTTGTAGTAGGCATTAAATTGCATATTAAATTGTATATTGTTATACTGTTCAATTATTTTTCTTGAAAACCTAACAGTATTTGGTTATTAAACATTTCCTAATAATATAATCGATTTATTAAAAACAAACATAAAATGTATACTTACTTTTTATGCAATAAAATTTAACAAACTGAAATTCGTGGATCCATTAATGACGGAATCGTAAAAGTTTTCTTCTGAAATAGCAACTTCATTAAACTAACTAGAAACCTATATGTAATGTTGTCACGCAATTTATAATCCAATGCTATGATTTTGGTTTCCATATTCTTGTACCTCTGAGGTATAATTTTCCAGACGAAGTTGGACGCAGATTTAAAACGAGAAAATATAGTGTTCATAAAAAAGTGAATAGAAAATTTTATAAAAAAAAAATTTACATCTTCACTTTGAAACTAAAATTAATCGTTCAAAAAGAAACGATATAAAAAACAATTTGTAAAAAATTTATATTTCAATATTTTATAATATAATTTTCTAAAGTTTTAGATAATTTTTCAGATAAAATATTTGTTTGTGTTAAACATAGATAAATATTTTATTGATATATTATGAGTGAAAAGGATAATTGTAGAAGTAATAATATAAGTAGGTAAAATATATAAAGCAACGATAAATGTCATTAATTTTAGCTACTGGAAGAAAAACAACACATTAAACCCGTAAATAGTATAATATGTACATCTTATTAATTAATAATAAATAATAATTTTCTCTTAGAAAAGTCAAAATAAGAAGATGTTCTGTACGAATTTGACAGTCTCAAATCATGCTAAAATTACAATAACGATTGGGAAGTGCATTCGCAAAGAATAGTAACGTTGACAGCGAAGTCTTAGCAAAAATATCTTCTACACAAGAAGCTCGACTGAAAGAGTTGCAAAAGAACGGTCATATTTTTACCCCATTGATTTCATGACATTATTTATTTACTATTTTCTCGTGATATACAACACATCGTTTTCCGTGTTTTCGACATTATTAACAATGTTGTACGTCGTCTCAACTCACAAGTACTTATAAGAGAGCATCTCACTAAAAACTAAGTTTTCTCTACTACATATCTATCTACATTTTGGCACTCGAACTGACATTAAACTGGTTTCATAACTATACACTTTTATAAGAGATTTTTAATGTTTATACAGCGAGTTATAAAAAGGATCTGAATCACAAAAATAGGGCGAATTTGAAATATTTTGAACTTTCGTGCATCATCGGTAATTCAAGAATTCGCGTGTGTTTACTTTACAAAATAAACAAAACGAAAATGGTTTTTAATTATGTTTATTAATACAAACTGTATATTACATAATATTGAAATATTAACGCCAAAATAGTTATTTTAATACACAAATACATTGTATTTTTCCAATGATCGGCCCATTATATTTATTAAACTTATTTTAAATGTAACATTTAGAATTAATACTTGAATTTTTCTTTCATGAGATGAGACTCACAATACAATTATACTTCAGAAAATAAAATAAATTGTTTTCTAAAACGGTCGCAAAAAAACAGTTTGCTTTGGAAATAAGTAGATAACCTCATTCAATTATGGAATATATATAACCTAACATTAACAAACAAAAAAATTTTTATCTACAAGACTTTTACCTACTTTATGTTGTCAAAATTCAAAACTGCATTTACCGTTATTAAAAAAAAAAAAAAACTAATTTTCTCATGGAGTGTTCGATATTGGAAAACGTCTAATATTATTTTTATGATTTTATCAGTACAATAAGCTTCGAATTGCGCGTAAATTTGAAGTATGAAATGTTTAACTACTGTTAAGAGATTATTATTTGACCTCTATGTTTTCTTACTGATAACTTATTTATATTTAATTAAATGAAAGTTAACAATTTCATTATGATTCTCAAACTATTATAAATCAACACATTTTAGTTACAATTACAATTTAAAGTTAATGAATATGTTTAAATATGATCGAAGATTTTCAAACATTCCACAGCATACAAGAGGATATTGGATAATAGGCAGAGATATTCCTACTGTTCATATTTGCCTACGTTATTTTGACACTACATCATCACCATGTGAAATCTTAATGTGTGACAATGTCAGCTGAGAAGTTACTCAGCTGACATTTATGTTAATACTTTAAAATGAAACAGCAAAGAATAGAGCAATCTAGGACACTAGTGCAAATAAAAATAAAAATCAATCTTAGTATACCTAATATAAAAGCCAAACATATTATAATCCTGACTATACATAAGCTCTAAATAATAATACAAATATATGCAATATATAATATACTAATAAGCCATGTAATATGCACAAAAAAAAATTATTTGCAAACTAAACGGATACCTAGTCAATAATTCATGATTTTAGTTGAAACAAGTTCAATAGTTCTTCCGACAGTGCTCTATCAAAAATTTTTGACAGTTGGAATAAACTTTAAAGCTAAAATATTATAGTGGTTTGCATATGAACACGTGATTTTGAAAATCTTATATAGTTCAAAATATTGAATTACTATTCAACTAACTAGGTGCTCCTTTTTAAGAACTTAGGCTTAGCTATCACGTGGTTCGTATAAATATTTACATTTTTCCACAGTCATTCATCAAATGATAATGATTATTTTATTTTGCAGCTATGCAACTACTACATTTACAACTGGTTCTTTTTGGATTTCTTTGGACGCCACGACAAGAATCTCTCGAATTTCAATTCCAAATTAGTTCATTGTAAAAAAATCTTCTTTTTCATTATATTCGTCGAGTTGAATATATTATACGTTTTCCGTTAAGACCTAATGTGATAATATATGATTAACAAATACTATATCATGTTTTTCAAGTACAATGAAACCTCCCTTATCGGACACTTCTGAGTACCAAACATCTCCAAATAACGAACGTTTTTTCTAGAAAGGGAACATTTTTATTACTTTTCTATAGGAAAACCTCTAAATGCGGAACACTCTAAATAACGGACACTTTTATGATAATTTTAATTTTTGAAATTGATTATTTTTATTGTAAATTAAGAATAATTATAGAATACTTAAATAAAAGTGTATTTTATCTCGTTGAAATGTTATTGCGTCAAAAAAATGTTTTAACTAATGCACAGTCTTATAACTACTTAATTGTGCTTGTGATGCCAATATGAATGTATACGAACTTGTTTTTTTTCATAAATGATAGTTTTTAAAATGTAAATAATCAATGTAAAATCAAATTATTTTAATTAAATTTATAATTCTAACTAAATAAAATTAAAACTTCTTCCTCTAAATAGCATACATCTCTAAATAGTGGACACAAGTGCAGCAACTGACTGTGTCCGGTATTTAAAAGTTTCTTTGTATAATAAATTAATAGAACCATTATATTCAAAAATATTATTCATAGCATTTCATTATTGGAAATATTAATTTTATCCTGTCACTAGCCCACAAAATGAGATGATAGGTAATTTATACATGCTAAGCTACAATTTATAAACTATGATAATGTTATTAAAAATTACATGTTATATATATATATATAAATACATCTAAATATCAATAAAAACACATTTATTGATGAATTATTTTTGAATTTGCATTATTGTTTTTGAATTTTTTT